AACTCATATCTAGCAGGAGTTACATGCATATTTGTTTGATGATTACGAGTAGTCATAGAACTTGTTTGCAATAAATTTCCTACTTTGAAGTCTAATTTTTTTTAATTACAGCTTGATTCCACACCGTATTTTTGGTACAGGTTTGGAATTTTCAGCATATGATATCGGTAGCCCAAATTTTGCAGGCCAACCATAGATATCAGGTGTGCGGCGGCAGAGGATCGAACTCCAGACCATGTGCATGGTCGGCGAGAGACCTAACCGCTGTGCCACCGACGCACGATGTACTACCTACGAATTACCCAAAATTCAATATGGATAGTTTCTTCGTAAGCCAAAAATTCCTTTTTTTAAAAAAAAAACCAAGTGCACTTACAATCAGCTGGCTAAGAGGTTCAAGTTCAGTTCCCAGTGGGTTTGTGCGTGTACACAGTCGAAAAGTCTCAAACTAGGACGGAACAGCTGTCCAATACTCCTTGGTTTCCAGATGTTCCCTAACTGACTTCAGCCCGTGATGAAAACTTGAAGCAAATCAAGTCCCTACAAACTAACTCTTGAAAATTAATCTGATTCTCACTAGCGAGTGGCTATAGGACGACGTTACCTGGAGTTCCAGTGAGAAGTTGTGACCAGTGGGGTCCACCAGGTCGGGTGTGAGGACAAATACTCACCGATTCCATCCCATGTGGCTGAACAGTCAGCTGACTTGGCCTCGTAACCTAAAAGTGCTGGGTTCGATACCCGGTAGGGTAGTGCTGATGAACAGTCCCAGACTAGGGTGAAACATCCGTGTATTACAACCTGGTTTTCAATGACTCTCCACTTGACATCAATCCGTGATCGAATTAGACAAAAGGTAGTCGAAAACTACATGACTTCATACTTGCAAGTAACTTTAAGTAATCCTACCCTGATGATGTATACACAACGAAATAATTTGCATAACTGAATAACTGAACAAAGAGACTTTGTTACAGTCATTTTTAACCATCTGCATATCACTGAAATGTATAATTTTTCTATGCAATCTCAGTATACATTTTCTATTTATTACATCTATACTTACGATTTTAGACGTATAAAAATAAATGATTATTGTATCCATTTATTTTCGCTAATTGATTTCATTTTGGTGAGATATTAGTTAGACCAATTAATTTACCATAGTTATTCGGACATAATTGTTTAGAATGCAGTGAAATTCAGTAATTGACTTGCGCACAAGTGTGTAGCGTTTCCCAAATAGTCATTACCTTGTGTAGAAATATTATTGTCAATATTAACACGATTACTAATGCTTATACTGCTACTGCTATTAAGATTGACGATTTGTTGTAGGTCAGTTTAATTCCATCTAACAACTATGACACTTCCGGTGGGCATTTTCTGTTGATCTTTATGAAATTCTGAAAGTTCTGATGACTGATTGAACAGTATGACATTAAGTTGTCAAATATAGTGAATCAGTGTAGCTGTCCGACCCCATGTATTCATAATACCCTCTACTAAAGGATAGAAATTATACATCCTGGATCAAGATCTCATGCTTCTGAGAAGATATATTGACAAACATGACGAAACTTTTGTTTCCAGTGAGATTTTAACTAACTTCACTCAATTCTGATGTTAGAAACTTTACTATCTAACTATTTAAACCATAACTGACTACCTGAATCAACAATCGTGTAACTGTTATTGAACACTGAAACCAACTCACATGTTCATTCAAAAGTTATAGATTATCTGAAATATTCAACAGTTGTCAAAACATAATACAAGTGAATAATCTGTCATTTATATCCATAATTTATTAACATTGGAAATTGACAAATAGTTCATTAGTGCTTTAACAAGCATATTTTTATCTACTTCATTTATCACGCTTTCAAATTTATGTATATTTATTAGTTTTTCAAAAATTTAATAATACTAACCTAATAGTAGGTTGAATTATGAAAACAAATAGAGATGTAAGTATTCAACTTCCAATTAGCGAGACAAGGATTGGAACTAATGACGTCAGTTTGGTAGAACAAACAATGAACTTTTGTATAACCAACTTTTGATCAATATCCCTACATTTGTGAATAATTAGATGAGCAGTAGGCCTAAATGGTGAAATCGACACCTTTTCTTATGATCTTAACACTTATACAATCGATGTCTAATACAAGCTGATGACTGCCCCCTCCTCCTAGAAAAGAACTAGTTACGGTGGTGTAGACCAATTTGCCTCTCTGGGCTGGGCCAAAACGGGTGAACCACTGACGGGATGAGCTGTTAGAGGTTTAGATCACTTTGATCTTGCTAGCGAGTATTACTGGTTGAGCGGAGTGGTTTTTAACTACCATTGTGATGACAGCTGTCTGCTAGCCAAAATTGGTAGACAGCAATTTACGTCCCAAATATTGGTCATGAGAAAAGCAAGAACAAAGACTGACTCAACAACCAATCACAGCAGCCTTTGCGTGGGCGGATACAATTCGCAGATAGATGATCTGACCTTCAAGAAACAGCCACAAAGAGATGAAAGATTAACTTTCAGCGAGAAACAACCAGTCAGAAGACTGTGTTTGTCTGCTAACAATAATCTGTGATAATGTACATGAAAATCTATAAATATCTGTTGATTTCCTCTATAAACGATCTGTTGCCTGACTCTTGCCTTCTGTCGTTACACCATAATGCAACAATCAGAAATAATAATGGTTAAACTGATTGAGTGAAACAGACAATATTCTTCATACAACAAAGACTCGTCTGATATATCCGAATTTTGAACTACTTATCTATTGGTAGACAGTCAGTCATGGTTTAAAAACAAGTCAATAAAGCATGCAGTAAGTTCACACTGGTGAATATGTTGAATGTAGTATTTTGTCGTATTTCATCATCTACAGCGACATGTTTGAATCAGTGGGCTGCGTAAATCTTCATCCAACACAATGCATAAAATTTTCTCTATTCTTCAGTTATTTCCGTGGGTCACCAAACATACTCATGAAGATTTTTAATTGACTTTCAAACTACTGCTAAGTATATGTTGGCAACGAGAACTGCTGTTTTCAAAGTGGTATGGTCACTGAAATGGTGATATGGCTCAAAATCCTTCTCAGTGGCGAAGATGCATTCCCTCTTTGTGATTAGTCATGTTCACACTCTTCTTTTTACCTTACATTTCTGCGTATTATTACGTCTCTTTTGAAGTTCTCTTCTCTTGCTTTGTGTGCTACGTGGAGGAAAAGTGGCAACTTGAACTGTTGCATTTCTGTGCAAAGTTCTATGTTGAAACCAGTCAGTTTCGGCAACCTAACATCGAGTAGGAGGCTGTATACTATGGTACATAATAACATTCTTTTATTATCGTGGCCAAGTTAAACTTTAGGCACCATTAACTACCAATCAGTGGCTGACCTTGAATGGCCCAATGAGTTGAATGTCCTATTCCGCTTGATTCGAGTCAAATGTCAGGGAAGGTAAGCTGATGATTCTAATATTTCGTTGGGAACATTTTTTCCACGTGTCACTAGTCCCTAACCCATATTTTGTGTATTTTTAGTAACTGGGTTTTTAAACAGCCTGTGACAAGTGTACCTGCTGAAACAGAGAAAATAGTCTCCTATCAACAGTTCAGGGGTACCAGCACTGCACAGATATCGCGTCAAGGAAAATGGAGAGAAATACTTTGTTCTTAAGAGGAGGTGTCATCGTACACTTGTATGAGTAGAAAGGTTATAACTACCTGTCATCCCTTGGGTATAATCATCACAGAGTGAACCATTCTAATGATTTTGTGGATCTCATTACAGCGACGCACATCAGTTCTTTAGAAGGCTTTTGGGATAGGTTAAAAACAGGATTAGGACAATAAATCGATCTCAGAAGTACGTCATCTATAGTCATTTAGATGACTATATCTATAGAATGTGGTGTAACTTTTCAATTGATACTGCTATGCTCAACTGGGAGATGGTTTTCCCACATGTCAGAAAAAGGTATCCTATGAAACATTTTATGCAGTTTTTCATAAACATATGTTTGCATAACCAAAAACGCCCCCTTCACGTGAGTGGTGCGTTGAAGGTCATTCGCTGATTAGCAGTTAGTGGTGCTTAAAGTTTAATTTTGCCATTATCTTTTTCAACTGAAACAAGTGAACGAGAAATTTCGGTGACAGCCAATACTGAATAACCAGTAGGTAGGCTTATGTCAATTTATGTTGGGTTTCACTACCTACATGTATAATTCCTATGGAGAGTTCGCGCACTGTAAAATAGATAAATTTACAGTAAGTGTGCATTGATTTGATGATATTAGACGGTTGAAGGCAATCGGTAGGAAGCCTTAGACCTAGGTTTCGTGCTAGTCGCCACTCAGCAGGGTGTATCTGCAGCCTTGAAGGAACTCATGTCCCTTCTGAGATTCGAACCCGCGTCACCCAGTGCTGCTGATTGCCTCCAACTATCTTAAATCATCAAATCAATGTGCACCGTGATGGTGATCTACCTAGAATGGTGGCCACATTGCAAACCTGACTGATAGAATTCATTCTGCACCAAAGAAAGGACTAGACACGTCGCACTAGCTACCGGTGTCCAATCAAAGTACAGTAAGTGTATTTGTAATGGCTATTTACACACAATGATAAGTATTAACTTCGGTAACATTTTAAGCAATATTACTACCTGTGATTCCATTAATTCTTGTAATTTTTCCACTCTAACAATACCTACACATAACTCAGCACATTTATACTTAAACAGATGAACCTTGTATACGATGACATACGTGTTCTGAAACAACTGTTGCCCAAAAGTAAATACCCTGTGTAAATATGGTGCAGCAAATTCATGCTTGAAAAGTCAATCAATCACCGAACCATACTTATAACTATATAGAATAATACATTTACATAATACGATAAATGTCGACCTGCTCACACTTTTCGTCTAGCACAGCCCAATCCAGGGAAGAAGAAATAACAACTCGAGAAACATACGACAAATACGTATATATATTTCAAGACTTTGTTTTAGCAAAAAGATAATTCATACAAACCAGAAAAAGGATGATTAATAAGAGAAGAGCAAGGAGAAATAAGACAGTGAAGATAAGGAGAAAAAAAGTGGCATGTACACTAGGAAGATCGAAACTGTCTGTATACAAAGACAACAAACATGTACATGTATAGTTCCCAAGCGGAATACATACACTCGATCATTTAAAAAGATTTTAAAAAAACACGTTTATGTGAACAGGACAGAATAGAAGACAAGTTTATAATACGATGGAGTAGTTGTTGACAAGATGAAGAATTTTGTACTAACTGTCTACTTGCTGTTTACACACTCACCAATTACACTAATTTTCCTTTTTACAAAGTTTTCAAGAGATGCTTCAATATTAGACATCAGATGAATAGTTGTCATAAAAACTAAATCATATACATAAACAAGGAGACAGATAGACAGGGAGAGAAATAACAAGTTTATATTACACAATCTCTTCAGCTGGAAGTTCCGAGAAAAGGTAGTAAATGGTTTGGATGATGATTGAATGGAAATGGAGTTGTTCTTTCTTTTTTTTCGATGATTAGTGAAACCAGCAGAAACAACAATTACAAGAAAAGTAACACTGCTACTACAATAACACACAGTGAAACGGAAGTCGAAGAATCGGAAAGTAATCAACACAGAAGAAGGCATATACAACATGTGTATACACTAATTTACAATGATAAATACAAAAAAAATTAAGACGGATAAACCCTACAAAGACTTGAGAGAATTGATAGTAGAAAAGAGACAGAAGTATATCACTTGGACACAAACATATCCAAGCAAAGAATGTATATATGAACAACAAAGTTGCACACGAATATATCACACACACTAAGTCGCATTTGTCGAATACATGAATGTATGTAGTATATAAAACTGAAAGACAGATACTGAGAAGTAGTACAAGTAGTCACTAACAAAATTGTTCGAAGTTGGGAATAAAAAAAAAGGGAAGAAGAAGGAGAAGAAGAAGTATAAACGTGGACAAGAGATAAAAAATAATATAAATCAAAAGGAATGAAATGACAAAGTAAAAGTATAGTGATTATCATTACAAAGCAGTACAAACTGATCTTATCCAGATGATGCAAAACGTTTTCTTTTCTCAGATTCATGAATCATTTGACAGAAGTCATCTAGTGCTCCAATACTTGTAGAAAGGCTACACAAAAAACAACAACATGTAAATCATGTGGTACAGAATAGAACCCATAAGAATAATAAACATGTGAAAAGATTCGCAAGTCAGAATACCAAGAATTCATGATAACAGAATTAGCATATGAACACTTAGAAAAACTTGTTTACCAAATAGATAAACCAAAATTAACGCCTTGACTATTGATCAAGTTAACAGATAAACAAGTACACACACATTAACAATGCCGATAAAGAAATACTATATATTACAGTTAAGAGGATGATAAATTGCAGTTGTATCGGCGTCAACGAAATCGACTGTCATACTAAGTAACTAGCCATATGACCAGACAGTCACATAAATCTTTACAGCCACTTACAATTGGATACACAGTTCAGACTAACAGTCGATGACTACATAGGTTGGTCACCTTTAGTTAGTTCTAATTCCTTTAACATATCAAGCATAATACATCTGAATTCCTTTAGGAGCTAGAAGTTAGCGGCTTATTCAGTTGACTAACCAGTCCCACCTTAGACAATATGTCCAAATTTTACGCTCTACAGAAGTGCAGTTGTTAAAGCTGCCACACTCTATATACCACAGAAAGGTAGAAGCAAAACTCAACTATAATAAACGGAAATGTGCGGGAGAAAGAGTAAATATATGGAGAATAATGAGGAATGAGGCGAATATTTCCATGCTGCTGAGAAAGGTTTTGAGCCATATCGCCAACAGTCTTAAGATATTACTTTTGAAGTGGGATGGAAATTGGCCGAACAATCTGGAAGGCGAATGGTCAAATTTATGATTACATACGCACATTATCGGATCAAGAAATAATAGATGTCCAAAAAGAGAAACTAGAGAAAACCCTCAACCAGGAACACCTGTCAACGCTGATCACCGCAATTACATTGTCAAGTAAAAAACACAGAGAACAAAGACGAAGAGACCTCAAAACCAAGCTAGCCAAGATTAGAAAACAACAACCAGACAATACACCTATAGACTGAGTATTCAACCTATCAAAACAACTACTATCAAAAATAGAACAACAACTGCTACAAAAAGGATTAAACTAAAACACAGGAGATGCCTCGAAAACTGATTTCTTCGCTGCCCTTGAATCATTACTCAAATCATCAAACTTGAACGAGGAAACACAGGAAGAGATACGCCAAACAGTTGTACCAATGGTCAAACACAAAAAAACAACACACACACAACTCAACTCTCAAGAACTAAAGGCCCTCAAAAAGCTGAAAAATAGGAAGGTCATCGTCATTCTACCAGCCGACAAAGGAAGAACAACAGTAGTCATGGACAGAGAAGAATACACCAAGAAAGCTGAAGAACTACTCAAAGACGAGGATGTGTATCAACAACTCCCAACAAATCCCATACAAACACTGGACAACCGCATCCACAAGACCTTAAACAAGCTTACCAAAACTGGACAAATCACAAAACAAGACCAATGGCGAATGAAATCCGGTGGACCAGTCCTACCCCGATTCTACGGCAGACCCAAAATACACAAGCCAAATATCCCGTTACGACCAATTTTATCACTACCAGGAACTCCAACATACAATTTATCCAAAGAATTATACAGAAAACTAAAACATCTAACGTAATCTTGTGATCACTCCATCAACTCCGCCATCCAATTCCTAGAGAAAATCAGAGGCATCCAAATAGATGAACAAGAAATAATGATATCCTTCGACGTCACAGCATTGTATACCTCAATCGGACAAAAACTAGCAAAAGAAACCATGGAGCAATTACTTAGCAACGACGAACACCTTCCACAACAATCAAAAATGCAACACACAAGTTGGATGGAACGCATAAACCTATTTCTAACAACGTACTTCCAATTCAACGGCCAAATATATGAACAAGTCAGAGGAACACCTATGGGATCGCCAATATCAGGTTTGATTGCAGAAGCAGTGATGCAAAGGCTCGAGAACATAATTCTACCAAAGATCAAACCCAAGATTTGGATACGTTACGTAGACGACACATTTGTAATTATCAAAAGAAACGAGTTAGATAAAGCTCACAACCTGATAAACAACGTCTCCAACGACATCAAATTCACAAGAGAAGAGGAATCAGAAAACCAAATCCCATTTTTAGACGTCTTAGTCAAGCGAACAACCACAGGGGAATTAGAAACTCAAGTCTATAGAAAATCAACTCACACAGACCAAATCCTGAATTACAACAGCAACAATCCAATAGCACACAAAAGGAATTGCATACAAACACTATTCAAGAGGGCCAGGACTCATTGCAGCACTCCCACCTCAAGGAAAATTGAAGAAAGATATCTCATAGATGTCTTCCAAAAGAATGGGTATCCACGGAATTTCATCAAAAGACATATACCCCCAAGGAAAGCACAAAGAAAATCGCCTTACCATATATAAAGGATGTATCAGAAATCACTACAAGACTCTTCAAACCTTTAGGAATTGACGTCGTACACAAACCAACAAAGTCACTTTGCTCAATTCTATGTCAACCAAAAGACTCAACAGCGAAGGAAGATAAAACCAACATCATCTACAAAATAAATTGCATCAACTGCGAAAAACACTACATTGGCCAAAGTGGACGTCCCCTTCGTCTTCGTATCCACGAACATAAGCTAGCCATCAAAAGACATGATATCCACTCCCTCATATCACTACATACAGACAACCACGGACATCAATTCGACTGGGACAACGTTCAAATATTAGACAGAGGAAACAACAAGAATGCTAGAGAATTTTTAGAAGCTTGGCATTCCAGTGAATCATCAATCAATAGACACATCGAGATAGACAAAATTTATCAACCGATAAGAAAGAAACCTCACACACAAAGGGTCAAAGTTCAAGTCAAAGAAACAATCAGTTCCAATACAAGTAGCCTAGAAGGTGTGAAAACACACAAAAACAACCAATCACGTCCAAGGTCACCGGGAGAGATGATTAATAAACTCGTGGAGAAATCTAAAAGCTCACTTCAAATTGAAGTATGCGCTGAAGATGTCACCCAGTAGGGTGATGAAAGCTCCGCAAATTAACTATCTAGCTCAGAGAACACAACCACATCAAAATCATCCACCTGAACTACAAATCTTCTCTATCATATCTAAGATATTGCTTCTTAGCATCACGAGAACCCCAACCAGACAGTCTACACCTCCCTACGTGGTTGGCTTAAACTAACAATCAAAGAATTCATGGATTGATTCTAGGTTTGGATTTCACCACCCCTAATTATTTTCTAACCCAATCGTATGGCAGCGAACAATGCTCGACGGGGAATGCAATAGCTTAGTATGCGTAACACGTATCATAGCCATCTCAGTTGCTGCAGCCTCACAACCTCATCATCAATTGACTTTGCACCTTAACCTAAAACTCTAAACTTAATATTACTCACTGTATTATGCATTTGACACGAGATATAGAACTTAAACACCTATAGTCGAAGACAGTTAGCGTCTCCATGTCTTCCATATCCAATGGTCACGTATCATAGTCATAAAGAAGGACAGAGTAAACCGCTGCATAGTAAACGTACCTTTCGACTGATAGCTAGATATCACGTCTACGAAAGAGCGGATGCAAGCTGGTAAATGCGACATTATCTTTTGTATCGGTGACGTTTCATCAGTATTTAGTTCCCAAATAAGTGTAACGGTGAACAGGCTCAACCACTTCACTCTCTCGCCCTTTCTCTCTCTTAATTAGGAATCGATGTAATCCAGACCTATAGCATTATCTCACATTTCACAGGAGTGAACAGCATACCAAACTACCAAGACTTCTGCTCAATGTGTTCAAAAAACTCTCAATAGAAATGAAATCCATATTGAAAGCTGGTAAATTTTTATTTGACAGGACAAATAAGTAGTCCATATACTCGTATCTAGGTCTGAAAGAAGTCTGAACTTCTTATTTCCCAGATAAATTTTTTTGTAAATCCTTTACGCTCCCAGTGGAACATAGGGATTCAAGCTAGAGGCTTGATGTTTCGGTCGCAGTGGTGTATATTTTTACAGGATGGGGTTCTAGCTCATCAACCTTTCCTCTTTACCAGTCTTATTACTGGCTTAGAGAGTTAAAGGAGTGCATCGGCCGGGGATCGAACCCCGAACCACATGCATGGTTGGCGAGCATTCTACCGCTGTGCCACCGACGCACCCAGGTAAGATTAGATGCTATATAAGTATGAAGCGAAGAAATTCAAAACCAACATTGGTAAGGCTAATAACTAATTATTAATCCAAAAACCAATTTTTTTCTTTCTTGAAGACTGAGACAACCAGTGATTCGGAATAGTCAGGGGGGGGTGAATATGCTTAACTTCCATGTCTCTGTTATTTTACCTACTTTTCTCGCTGCACTTCTATTCCTAAAAGTGAAATTCTGACTTGTCTCTTTCTCGGTTGTAATACAGTTAGTACTTCATTTTCTAAATTTAGTCACAGTACTAGATTTCAATAGACGTCTGTCGTTAATTTTCGCCATCCCTTCAACTTTTGCTGCCCAGTATTGCGGAATTATGAACATAATGAGAAATGTCAATACATTGAATTTGAAGGCTCTGCTATACTGAAACTGTCTAACCTAATGGTTCCAGTAGATAACAGTTGTAAGTAATGGCAGTAAATCAGTAGGGGCAGTACTTCATGATACATCTAATAAACTAAATAAAATTGAATTACCTGTTACAGCTACTTCAGTTTGTGAAAAACAAGTACAGTTACGCTTCTTTTATACTACAGAACTAGTTACACTGTATTCATTCCCCCTCTATGAATATATATATATATATATATATATATATATATATAGCAATCAGCTCTTTTACTTGGCCACATATCTTGTTTTCCTTTAGTGGTTCTTTTGCAAAACGTGACTGACCGTCAGCTTGTAGTAGCTAATCTTTTGAAGTAAAACCAGCAACCTTAAACAGTCATCTGTAATAAGCAGTGATTTCAGAGGTTATCTACGGATTATTGAGCCACATTTTCGAATCTGACCACCTAAATCAATTAAATGAGCTAAGCATTATAATAATAGAATTGAGTGTAATGTATAGTTAATCTGGTAGTTAGAAAAGATGCACTAAGAGTTGCTTATTAACCATGAACATAACCATAATACGTGGGTTTATGTTAAATTTATATAATGAAAGAGTTGTACTTACCGACCGAATGCATTGAATAAAGAAATTATTTCAGTACGCCTTAATTGAAAGTTTGGTTCCACAGTGCTTGACTGATCGACAGGATTTTCTTTCCGTACAGTGTCAGAGAATAGGATTTTCAAAGCAGTACCCATACCTTGAGTCTACAAAGAGAAATAAGTGGGTATATTTTAAGTTGTAGTATAATGAAGAGGTTGTATTAACCATTTTGAACAACACAGAGAAGTGAAATTCTTCAGTCGTACTTTTGCAATTCTATACTTCTTATCACAGGTATTCATTACGCAATAAGCCAGTAAAAAAACAAACAAAGAGTGCTGGATATCTGTTTCAACATATTTTGGGACTTTTTGATTGGACACTAGTCAGTAACTAGTGTAATGTGTCTAGTGCTATCTTCAGTGCAGACTGAATTCTATCAGTCAAGCTTGCAATGTGGCTCGCCATCACTGTGCACTGTGAACTGTTGGTATTATATGGTTGGAGGAAATCAGCAGGAAGCCCTGGACCTAGGTTTCGTGCTAGTTAGCACTCATCAGCAAGGCGTATCTGCAACCTCGAAGGAACTCATGTCCCTTCTGAGATTCGAACCCACGTCACCCAGTAGTGCAGTCAGAGACGTTACCACTGAGCTATTCAGACTCGCAATTGACCTCCTGTAGGACTGCATTGGATATTTTTGATTGGACACTAGTCAGTAACTAGTGTAATGTGTCTAGTCCTATCTTCAGTGCAGACTGAATTATATGAGAAGGGACATGAGTTCCTTCGAGGTTGCAGATACGCCTTGCTGATGAGTGCCAACTAACACGAAACCTAGGTTCAAGGCTTCCTGCCGATTGCCTCCAACCATATAATACCAATATTTCGGGACTTTTGGAAAATTGATAACGTACGAGTCATTACGCATACAAGAACCAACAGAACTGTTGGCGAGCGTGTTACCAATCAGCTGATATGTTGAAAGTGAATGGTACACACTTTTTAACTCACGATATCTCGAAACTACCATCCAGTTTCATTATTGATTGACTATCGCCATATGTCATTAGAACTTTTGAAAAAAAGATCTCGAAGTAGATTACTATTCATCACTGTTACTGATGGTTATTCATTTAGGATAGTAATAAAAAGTTGATCAATTTCAAAGTAGTTTAACGTCAGAGTTTGGATCAAAATAAGTGTTTATCTTTCAATCAACTTAGGTTAACATAACAATTTCTTTTTCGACCCACTAACGCATTTCGAGTAAAAACAGGCTTCTCTACTGCTCCTAAAGTATTAAATCTTTAGCAAATTATCAACCACTAGGTGTGATTTTGTATTGGTTGCTTAAACGAATGCTGTAACCATATCAGATGTTACATCTAGCTGTTTTAAAGGTGTTTTATCGACTTTTATACAAAACTGGAGTATCTGTTGTGGCGTTCGCTATACTGTGCATTAAAATACCTCGCGATTAATTATCAAGTGTTTATTTGCAGGGATTCTGGTTGGTTACAGGTTTGATTATCAGATGACATCAGTTAGAAAGCCAGTGAAACACCAGGGAGTACTGCACAGCTGGAACTCTTAATCAGCACGCGTCCATTAGTTCTCCCCAGGTTTTCCAGTGGTTCTCCAGCTGATGTCAGCATGTGATCAAACCATTAGTCAATCAAATCCCTGGAAACTAACACTTCATAATTAATCTGATGCTCACTAGTGACTGGCTGTATGCGAGAAATCACCAGGAGTTCTAGTGAGAAGTTGTTACCAGCGGGGTCCACCAAGTCAGGTAAGAAAGAGAACAGTTACTCCCCGATGACACTGACGACTGGTGGTTGCTCTGTACATCGGAAATTGGCAGAAACTAGGATCCATGGGTCATTCGATCGGATCCCAGTGAGTGAGTGAGTGGTTTACGAGCTCTTCTTGTAACCAGGAGTTTCGGGGTCGAAACTTGGTGGGCGTATACTTCTAAGGAGTCCCCAAGTAGGACTAAATAGTTGTCCAGTACTCCTTGGTTTTCCAATGGTTCTTCAACTGGTTTCAGCTCCTGACCGAACCTGTAACCTCATGATTACTTTTATCCTCACCCTACATTTATGCGTATTATCACATACACATGCTTTGAACTATAATATATCCACAATCCGTTCACATAAACCTCTTGGAACTTTGATGTTAATGGTTCCACGTTAATTATTTTTTTTAAAACATGAATGTTGGCAATGGTGCTTATTCTTTAACTATTATGGATACATAACTACAGTGTCTGATGAAGAAGTTACCGGACAGAGTATTTTTCGTTCAATAATTAGTCTTTTGAAATTTATAATGAGTATCTTTAATCAATTACTAACTAGTTCACAATCTTTAAGGAATGTATCTGAAGAGATAAAATTGAATTTTCACATCTTATCTTTCTTAACTCTATTATTTTTGTATTTTCAAGGCATTTATTTATTAGACAGTAACAATAAATTGTTTAAAAAATGAATGAAGTTCATATGCATACGTCATTGAACTTCGGTCTAACACATTGTTGATAAAGTCTAGTGAATCATAGAAAATCTCGGATTAATTAACTCCGGTCAATAGTGGATAACAAGGCGAGGCATCAACTCTCTTTTTGGGTAATCAATTCACGTGTGTCTGTGTATGTAATTTGTTGCTCAGAGATTGATTTCATACTAATAGGTATTGAATACTTGCAATAAATGTAGCTACTCATTACTACATAAGCCAGTATTACATCATTTCTTTTAAATAGCATGCAACTTTAGTCATAAGATTTAGATATGATGGAGAAGATTTGTAGCTCAGGTGGATGATTTTGATGTGGTTGTGTTCTCTGAGCTGGATAGTTTATTTGCGAAGCTTTCATCACCCTACTAGGTGACATCTTCAGCGCATACTTCAATTCGAAGTGAGCTTTTAGATTTCTCCACGAGTTTATTAATCATCTCTCCTGGTGACCTTGGACGTGATTGGTTGTTTTTGTGCGTTTTCACACCTTCTAGGCTACTTGTATTGGAACTGATTGTTTCTTTGACTCACAAAGGGTCAAAGTTCAAGTCAAAGAAACAATCAGTTCCAATACAAGTAGCCTAGAAGGTGTGAAAACACACAAAAACAACCAATCACGTCCAAGGTCACCAGGAGAGATGATTAATAAACTCGTGGAGAAATCTAAAAGCTCACTTCAACGAATTGAAGTGTATGCGCTGAAGATGTCGCCTAGTAGGGCGATGAAAGCTTCGCAAATAAACTATCCAGCTCAGAGAACACAACCACATCAAAAGCTTAGGTCATGTTAAGTGAGAACACCTCTGCTTCTAAATCTAAAAAAATATAGCTTTACTACGACTGTACATCTATGTACTGTTTGACAGTAGGAAATGAAGTAATCAAGCGCACTGGCTACTTTCCCTCACCTGTTATAACCCCAGAGGACCTAGTCCATTAGTCAGATCTTAGAACTGATGACATGCCTTAAAGTGGTTTTCACAAAAATACATGGTTATAAAACGTTCAATGTACTATGCAACAAACTATTGCATCCTTGCATATGGTTGTGAAACACGTGAATATGCAGAGGAGTTAAGTAGGTCACAGATATTTCAGCACGTTTGCCTCTAGGACATCGCCCGCGAGTAGCGGGACCCCAACACGGCAAATGTAAAGACGAAATGTAGAACCTTAGGTAAATGTTAACTAGATGAGGCTAGGACTTATGCTACGCGTCTCATATCCTTATATGTATTATATTAGGCTCACGATTAGATTAGAGTTGACCAAGATAAAACTTAGAATAATCTGAATAGGGAAATGTAGAATTTCCGACTAGGATGTTCGAAACAGCCGAAACCGATGTTTTATTAATCTGGATACCAGGGATGGAAAATTAAAAGAATTATTAAAGTCAATTCATGGTGTATCTCAATGGAAATCGTATTACAGCACAGGTTAATTAGTTTCAACTCCATTTTCTAGTATCTACTCATCTAGTACTTTTATAAGCACTGCTTTAATTTCGCCGTCAATCTTTTCATTACCGTTTGTTTGTATGCGCAGGTGGAGCCACTTGAATCGTTAGGTAGTACTACTAGACATTTAAAGCAAAAAAAATTCCCTAAGTTAACTTACTTGAAGTTTTCCCCATAATCTGCACTTTTCACAACCAACACAATCCATTATACGTGAAATATTGAGAAAATGCTCTCGAAACTGTTTCTTCAGTATATTCGCTTCAGTAATATTTCCAGTGAATAGAAGGTGTTCATTGAATATACTACCTTCATTTCTTTAGAAGGAAAAAATAAAAATGAAAAGACAAATATATGAATAATCATCTCCTCTATCATCGTGCAAATAATACTGTCAACTATACCTATTGTGTTTGAAATAGCGATACTCTCTAGGCTTCCTTGATCTCTTGGTGAATGAAACTGGATTCAGACCTGTAACCTTGTGCATTAAATTTCAGTGCTTAGAGAAATACATCAAAATTCTACAAAATATTTAAAAATTAACCATATTTCCTAGGGTTCCGAAAGGAACATAAGGTTTCAGTAGCATATCGCCATTTCACCAAGTTGCCTGCAGTCCTTTTTAACTGGAACCACAATTGCCTTTAGGCACTCATTTCCTCCCCATATGATCTCCTCCATTTCACACTCGGACGCATGTCCTAATCGCTGTTTCCCATTTGAGCTCCACTCTGTGGCCTGGCGTGCAATGACACTTAGCGGTCTTCTCAGAGTATGTCTAACCCGCTACCAATTCTTTGTGCATATTTGCTTGGTGATAGTTCCTCGGTAGGTTCGTTACCAGGACTCCTTGTTGTTTATCTTTCCCGGCCGCCCATTTGATCTTCACTATCGAGCTACCAAAGATATCTGCTGTTGGAAGTCTCCAACCTGTTGAAAATGCTATTCATGATGCATCAAGTCTCTGAACCATATGGAAGGATTGACTTAACATTAGTGTTGAAAATTTGGATCTTCTTCCTTATGCTGCGTACAACAGATTTTCCGATCCTGCCATATGACATCCTAATTCTTGCTACATGCAGTTGAAACCATGCTATCTAGGCACGTGAAAGAGGTGACTACCGTCAATTTTCTCACACTGATGGTGATTGGTGCTTGTTGGTGTTAGTTAGGTATTTTCACCACCTCTGACGTCTCTATGTCCACTTGAATTTCTATATTTGCTACCTCTTATGTCAACTTGTTCATTTTCTCCTGCCAATTTTTGAGTTTGTGTGAACATTAGTCATAAGTCATTAGAGAAGTTTATATCTTCTCATCAGTCCAACGTATGTCCGCCTTCTTGCTTCCTACAGTCTGTTGTATAATCCAGTCCACTACAATCAGGAATAACATCGTATTTAGTATCACCAAATGCAAAGCAGCAAATGGATGATTACTTAGTTATTATGATTCGAAAAGTAAATCTTTCCTATTACTTATCTGTGGGCATTCAAGTGCTTGCTAAATCTCTCTAATGACTCAACTGAAACTAAGTGGATACATAAAAATAACCAAACTTAATGTTTTCAGAATAAATGCACTTTCGGCGTGTTAACTATAATGCTTAACACAATCACTGTTTGTTTTTCTATTATGGCAAATGCTGATTGTTTATGAAGAATATTTATTCAAAACTTATCCAGCATTGAAAAGATTGTTTAGTTAAATAGCTAATCAATATCTCTATTGACAATGCATTATAAAAATTGCTTCCATGCTGAAATTTATCTGTCCAACAGACTAATTAACTCTTCTATAAGATGTTACGTTTCCAGATGTATAGTCACAAATCGTACAAACACTCCATATCAATTTGTTTGGTACAGTAAAACAGTATTAGTTACTGGATGATTTTTCAAACACAATTTATTGTTTATAACCACATCAATTGTAACTAAACTACTTCGAAACTTGACTTCCATAGTTCTTGTTTTACCTTTCCATTTGTCGTAAGAGTAGTAGAATTTCCCAGATGTCCAGGACAGGTGTTGAATTATTCCTATTCCAAGTATTTTCAGTTGGTTTGATAAATAAAGCCTCATTTATTAATCTCTTCCTCCACCTTTCTACATTAGATTTCAAGGCTACCACCTTGTCTCATCCTATTGTATGGTTGTGTGTAACCACATGTAGTGCTATAGCTGAGCTATTTTCTAGATTTCTCATCTAAATTTCACATCCTTGTGCTCCTCTAATCGAATTGACCCCGGTCTACAACCTTGACCTGTGTGTTTGACCTCACAATTATTGCAGAGTGTTAGATAAACTAAATTATTTAACCAATATAATTTGTTTCTAAGTTAGTTTGTGGGTTTGAGCGCCACAATAAAATGGAAGGAAGAGAAGGAACTATAAAAATCAAGTTTTGAAGCCGATTTAGACATCACAATTGTGATATGATTATGAACAATAAATTGTGTTGGCAGTATCATCCAGTGGATAATACTGTTTCACTGTGTAATATGTCCAACAAACAAATTACTACAGAATTACATACTACCACAGTATTTTACAGCTTGATTCACATTGGCGCAGTATCCAAGTTTTACACATATTAATTCGTGCATTGTCTAGTTCCTCATGTTGCATTAGTTAACAAAAATATCACTTTTCCTACCATGTTTTTTTTTGCTTTCAGGAGTAAATGATGTTATAATTCATGTCTCTGAACCCCTTCATATACTCTAAACAATTTTTTTAACTGATTAAAAATGCCCAATAAACTTTTTTCAAAAGAATGGTTACTGAACAAAGAATATTCTTTGCGATAACCCCTTCTTCATCAGCTTCTACAGTTATATACACATAATAGTCAATGAATTAGTGTGATTAACAGCATTAATGTTGTTCAAATAACATCGAATCAATAATGATATTAATATCAATGGATTACAGTTCGACAGCATCAACATAACAATACACGTTGAATATCAGAGAAATTAGGAAAGATAATAATACAAATTCATGAATTTATAGTTTCCACTGAAGGCCGGTCAGAGCAATAGTAGTTCTGGCTGGACTTGCTTCTTTTGCACACAAAGCACTGGTTGTTTAAGGCGAATTGCGATAGCATCTGCTGTTTGGAGTATGCGGTACCTGGATACATTTGGTAATTTGTTTGGTACTCGATAGATGATAGAGAAGGATTCCTCATTGCTGGCTTTGTGGCCGGTTTGGACCAGGTGGTCTAATATCGATCTATTGATGCTTCTTACTACACCTTTATTAAACCCCACTGGTAGATGTTCCCAAGCGAGCACGAAAAATCAAATTCTTAGAGCAACAGCGGCAACATAACGTGCTCCACAGGTGCAGTTGAATTAGTAGATACAGTTAGAAGTGGCTAGTCTAGGTACTTCATTTTTCAATTGGGGAATGACCACCAGTCGTGTAGAAAATAAGACTTGTAGTTTGCCAGCATTAAAAGTTCTTTGAACTGATTTTCTTAACTTCTTCGTAATTATTTCGCTAGGTATATCGCCCTTGAATTGCAGTCGTATGTATAAAGGCTTCTTGTTTACAGATAGTGAATAGTCTTTTTCAACTTTCTTAGTCATACTTTTCCTGATGAATTTGTCTGGATAGCTATTTTCAATCAAGGTATCATATACAATCCCTAGTTCAGCTAAGCGTAACTCGAATAACGGCAGTAAAATCCACTATACAGAAAAAAAGTTGCTTCTATATTTGAAGACGCAGAGATGAATAAACTTTGAATTGATCTTCACTTTGTATTCCCGGAAATCATTTAAGTTCGAAATCATTAGCACATTTCGAAGGGAACAGCAACAATATTAGCATTACAACTAATTGGTTACCACGCAATAGTAGGTCAAGGTTATCCTAACATATGTTACACGTAATATAGTGAAAGGTCATCACTTAGAGATTGAATACAACGACTTGTAGTATTGCTTAACAAGCTGATATTAGACAATACTTACAGATTCAAAATAGACTGATAGGAATTGGAAGTTATAACCTTTTGAATTAAACTTCCGTGATGCTTGATTGGTTGGAGGATTTCATCATGAGCTGATATCGGTTAGAGAACCATTGGAAAACCTGCAGGGAGTACTGGACAGCTGTTTCATCAGCCTAGTTTGGGACTCTTCATCAGTACGCATCTGCCACTAGGGTTCGAACCCAGGACCTTCTGGCTACAAGGCGAGCTCGTAAACCATTAAGTCACTGGCACCCAATCCAATGGCCAGTCCATGAATTCTAACTTCTGCCAATTCATGACATAGCGCAATGTCTTCTTCGATGAGTTACTGCCTCACCAATTTTCTGCACCCTACTAGTCCCGGCTTCCCACTAGAACCCCAGGTTAACTCCCTGAATAGGGCCAGTCGCTAGTGAGCATAAGGTCCGTGATGTTTGCCGACCTAATTTGAAGCGCTTTTCTGCAAAAATTTCTACTTTGATCTGCATTTTTGTGTGTTTGTCATAATTAATACTGAGTCTGTGTATGCTGTGAGAGTTCAATCAATACAAGTTTCGCATATAAGCAGTCACAGAATAACATAAGAAATATACAAAAGAATATCATTTTCACATTGTCAAGCTAAACAACAGCACATATAGAAAAATCAATAAAAGTTGTGCACTTGACACAGTTTAATAAAGACAGACTTGATTGAGAAACTGTATAGACGACAGCAGCAGTAACAACAGATCAAGGAGTATGAAAATGAGGAAGGATGATAAATAAAGCCTTATATATATATACAGTGTGTATTAGCATTGGATTTGTCACACCACAATAGTGCCAAGCCAAGTACTGAAGTAAACAACACTAGCTTACAACAGTGTAACATTTACAATGCATTTTGCCTAGAATCAAAAATTGTTAAATTTGTATCACATGGAAAGAGTACGTACAAATGAAAATGGATTACAGGGAGTGAGTGCTATGTAACCAATCATAATCCAGTTACTAATTTGTACATGAATCCTCGAAAATATCCAATGACAGGAAGAGAAATTTATTATTATTATTATTATTAAACTATCATTTAGGCAATCAATCAATCAGTAAGTAGTGTGAATGAATGCCACTTCATCAACTCTAACCCGTAAAACCCTTAGTATAACAAACCCTCATATTTTAGGTGTGATTTGTGCCTTCATTCAACTTCGATAAAGTGTCATTACAGATCACTTAAAATAATCACACATTTGCATATAAAACTGTTTGTTTGTTTTTTAAGAGAATTTCTTTTAATTAATTAATAATAATAATAATAAGTGGTTGTTTTTATAAAGTTATAATTACTTATGCATGAATTTAACAATTATTATTAATGTTATACAATTTTTTTAGGAATAATTATTGGGTTAGGCCGAAAATATCTGAGGATTATTCACTTTTTGTTGGTTTCAAGTCAGTTTAAAAAGTCTCGGAGTTACTAAAGTTTTCACAACTATAATATATATTCAAGTATTGGTTTGGTAGGGATTTTGTTTAATTGCATGGTGGGTTTCACCATGAGCTGACATCAGTTAGAGAACCACTGGAAAACCTGGGAGTACTGGACAGCTGTTTCGTCCTAGTTTGGGACTCGTCAGTGGTACGCACCCACCGGGATCCAAACCAATACTTGAAAATTAATCTGATGCTCACTAGTGACTGGCCCTGTTCAGGGAGTTCACCTGGGTTCTAGTGGGAAGCCGTGACCAGTAGGGTACAGCAGGTTGAAGATGGGGCAGTAACTCATGGAAGAAGACATTGCGAAATGGTCGCGCTATGTCGTGAATTGGCAGAAGTCAGAATTCAAGGACCATTGCATCGGGTCCCAGTGGCTCAATGGTCTACGAGCTCGCCTTGTAACCAGAAGGTCCTGGGTTCGAATCCCGATGGGTGCGTACTACTGACGAGTCCCAAACTAGGACGAAAGAGCTGTCCAGTACTCCCAGGTTTTCCAGTGGTTCTCTAACTGATGTCAGCTCATGATGAAACCCTCCATATAATATATATATATATCCAAGTGTTGGTCTGCAGGGATTAGATTGGTTTCAGGACTTCATCATGAACTGAAATCGGTTAGAAAGCCATTGGAAAACCTGCAGGGAGTACTGGACAGCTGTTTCATAAGTCTAGTTTGGGACTCTTCATCAGTATGCACTCACAATAGGGGTCGAATCCAGAACCTTCTAGTTACAAGGCGAGCTCGTAGATCATTAAGTCACTAGGACCTCATCCAATGGCCAGCTCATGAATTCCTACTTCTGCTAATTCATGATATGGCGCGACCACTAGCAAATGTCGTCGCTGGCGAGTATTTGTCCTCACACCCGACCTGCTGTACCCCACTGGTCACGACTTCCCACTAGAACCTAGGTAACTACCTTCCCGAATAGGGCCAGTTACTAGTGAACATCAAATCGATATTCAAGTGTTGGTTTGCAGGGATTTGATTAGTTTCAGGATTTCATCATGAACTGACATGGTATATCCCACTGGTATGAGTGATGATATAAGAAACCCCTAAATACTCCAGTATAAATGACTGACACTTAGACACAAATAAAAAACGAAGCATTCCTAATGCAGTAGGCCGTATTTCGTAGTATAAATCATGAAAATGCAATTCCGGATGTTTAACTCCAAAGCCTGAAGCGTAGATATAACTATATGATGTAGCAGTATTTACTGTAACAAACTAGCAGGAAATCTGAAACCATCCAAATAAATACTTCAATTCATAATTTATTTAAATAATATATATTACTTATGTTATTACATGAACATAAGAACGCTACAATAAGCATCGTTGTTAGGTTATGTTACAGGCCCACTCCATTGATGTTAACAGTGTTATTCATTAAACACAAGTCTTTTTGTACAGCACTCAGGTGTCACAATTATGGGAGGGTTACTTTATGTTCTAGTTACATGTGGACTATCGACAGTTGCTAGTGTAGTACCTACTGGGGTGGCATTTATAGTCACTCGATGTTCAGACCTCAAGTTTGACTTCAACTGATCAGTATCTAAGAGATTTATGCTACAATCGTACAGACTATGGCCAGCTAGCTATGTTCCGCTGAACTCAGTTTAGGAGAGACTGTGATTTTTTGTTTGAAGGAAAACATAGAGATTTTAGCTAAAATAAAGGTGTGCATTTTAAACCCTTGTTGTTGTTGTTTACTTCGGCTATCTCCTACGGGAGGATGAGCCGGCTTCATGAACATCTCATAGGAGAGTTCATGAAGTTTCATGGGAATTTGGTACGAGTGATGTCCCCAGAATCGCTCGGCCTTTCGTTTGAGAGTGCAGCTCTATCCTTTACACAACCGAGTGTGACCTACAAGGCAGTAAGAGTGGAGTAGGGAGTCCACTATCCATTGGCAGCCGGTGACCGGAGTTCGGTTCATAAGCCTTTTCGAATGGGGCCAGACATCTAGGACATCCAACAAGCCCTTTGTACATACGTCTGCCGGTGAGCTCCAGTGAGCTTCATACGCCAGTCGTTGGAGGTTTGGAATCAGGGTTTAGCCTTTCCCCTAGACTGTCATCCAATGGGCAGTCAACCCGGTGAAGAGCGCCGGGCATCCGCTTTCGCCCTCTCACTTTGGTGAAAAACACCTCCGCCACGTGAAGGCAGTGAGTAGGACTTCCTCAGGAGAGGCTATTTAAGACGCCCGGTCATATGAGAGCATTTCAAGAGGTGTGCGGAGGGGTGGCCAACCCGCAGCGCAAGGCACCCACCCCCGACCATCCTGAAGCTTTGGAGTTATTGTCTTCAAAATGTACGGAACACCATAATGTAAATGAAAATATATTAGTCTCTAGAACAAAGTTTACCAGTCATCTGATAAAGAGATTCATTAATATGCATATTTCGGTAATTATGTGTTGCAGAAACTGATAGTGAAATCTCACTACAGTTTTGCTTCTGGAACCAATGCTCAAACAGTACATGAATACCATTATCATTATTATTATTATTTATGAATGGAGCTATTACTGAAGAATTGAAGTGTGTGGTTTGTAGAAATTTGATTTGATTGTATTACATCTATTTTTCACAGTTAGTCAGAATTTCATTATTTTGAGTAATTAAACCCTTTATGCTGGAGAAATTCTGTTACATCCTTTGTAGTCTTGGCCACAACGGTATTATCTAGAATTGACTAGGGTGATCACTAGATTGTTAGGAAGACTAATAGTCATTCTATCAAACAATAACACTTTCGATATCGATCAATATGGTTTTGCAAGATACACTTGATACAAGACAAAATGGTGAATAATCAAGTGGAAACTGTCCTAGACCTGAAAAATTGATAGGTACAGGATATATGAGTATATATATATATATATATATATATATATATATATATGCAAATAACTCTAAATGACTGGAGGGAAGAAAACCACATCCATCAAATAACAAATCAAAACTTACTGAATTATGTTTAGAAAATCTTTAACAGCAGTTCTAGTCTCCCTGTCCATTTCACTATCCCCTGTGAAGTAATTTTGTTTCAGTAAATACGGTGCTGCTTTAGCCAAAGCGCGTAATTCTACCAAATAAGTGAAATATAGGTTACGCAACCGAATAGGACCATCAGGTACAAGAGATGGATCAAAGCGACGGCGAAATTCTTCTAAATTCGGACCCCAACCTGGATTATTTTTATCGTAATCACGAGAAATAGGTTGATTCCTTGAAAAAACTGGAAAATGAAAAAAAGCAAATGAGATTATAATTCACTTGAGTACTTCTACATGATGTAGAAAGGTCAAGGGGTTCATCAGAAAGAAAATACCAAAAAACTTTTCTGATGAGAGAATTCGTAACTAATTGAAGGCTGTAAGGATAGTACTGTTACTATTATACAATGTAATTCTTAAACAATATTGATTCTATTCAGGCAACTATACAATGACAGATGTTAATATGGAAGAGCAAATAAAAATAAAGCAATTAAATGTGTCCCTCTCTTGTGTTAACTTCAATGGCAGTTAGATGACTACGATCAGGATCGCACGTACGGACTATGCTTACTTTGTGACAGGTTAAAGGTACTATCTATTCATACAAAAAGCAAACAAAACGATTGAAACGGGAATTCATGATTTGACCACACATTGAATATGCAATATGAGGTACTAATGCAATGCGTAAATCATTTAAAGTTACCAAAACAAACCAATCAACTCAGAACTTCCCTATAAAGGATGTCATAACCAACTTTTTTCCATTGATGGGTCACTAGGATGTAATTAATGTCAAGCGTTTAGTCCTTGGTGTTGGTGCAGAATGAGTACTGTCAGTAAGGTTTGCAATGCGGTCACAAAGTTGAGTGACTCGCCATCGCAGTGTACTCTGAGTTAATGATAATCACTCTATACATCTATCAAAGTTCTACAACAGGTTAGCTGTTAACCTGAATAGGTCGGCGGTAACTTTCCTGACTGCAGCATTGGGTGATGCAGATTCGATTCTCAGAGGAGACATAAGTCCCTCCGAAACTGCAGATCATAAGCACCTTAATGACGACTGCCGACAAGCACGAGACTGACTTCCCCCAACCACTTAACGATGTGTTTTTACGAGTACGAAATCCTTTTAGTCTGCTACCGGTGCCTTACCTACTAAGATGTAAACAACCAAGTAGTGATAGTAGTGGCCCACGAGAAAGTTTGCGGTCACTGAAAATTGGAATTTTAATGCGATGTTAATGAATTACTAGCTGATTAAATGTCCCATGCAGTCACACTAAATAAGGTGTTAAGTGGTATTTACGAGCATTTAAAAAATATATATTCTATAGTTGGTTTGTAAGGATTAGTTTTGTTTTTACGAGTTGATCACGGATTGATATCAGTTGGAGAACCATTGAAAACCAGGGAGTACTGGACAGCTGTTTCATCCTAGTTTGGGAATCATCAACAGTACGTATCCACTGGGGTTCGAACCCAGGACCTTCCGGTTACAAGGCAAGCTCGTATACCATTCAGCCACTGGGACCCGATTCAATGGCTCATGAATTCTAACTCTACCAATTCGTGATTTAGCGACCCCAACCAATATCGGGTGGGTTAGAATTCATGAGCCATTGAATCGGGTCCCAGTGGCTGAATGGTATACGAGCTTACCTTGTAACCGGAAGGTCCTGGGTTCGAACCCTGGCGGTGGATGCGTACTGATGATGATTCCCAAACTAGGATGAAACAGCTGTCTAGTACTCCCTGGTTCTCAATGGTTCTCTAACTCATATCAATCCGTGATCAACTCGTAAAAAAACCTAAAAAGGTTGATAATTCAAATTCTTTTTTTTCAAATTTATTAACTAATCTAATACAATATTTCCGTACTCTACACCAATCAAACAAAAGATGTAATAAAAAAACTCCCCATAATATTATCCTTATCAAAATAGAAGAGACTTACGACTCAATGGATATCGATAAGACAAATGAATACTAATGCTGCTGTGTAATCCAGATATCATTCGATAAAATGCACGTTTTTCAAAACACGAAGACTGACCTAATTAAAAATTAGATTGTGAGTAAAAAGAGAAAAAAGAAGAAAAAAAGGGAACAAGTGCACAATTGTAACTGATTATATTGATTTGGTTTGATAAGAAAATTGAAATATTACTGCTGAGGAAAACTTAATTTTACAAATGAACTGCTTTTATTGACATATTTTGGAAAGCAGACAGCTATTGTGTAGGCCTAGTTGAACATGGTATTCACCTTCTATTAATATTGGTAAAGAAACAGATAAATGATAGTCGAAGCTATTAACTGTAAGAATCCTGTCAACAGGTTTAGTAGAATTTCTTTATTTTATTCCTTTACGTTCCCAGTGGAACATAGGGCTTCAAGCTAGAGGCTTGAAGTTTCTGTAGCAGTGGTGACGTTGCTAGCCTCATGCCCAACCTTCCCTCTTTACCAGTCTTACTACTGGCTTAGCGAGGTAAAGGAATGCGTCGGCCGGGGATCGAACCCCAGACCACCTGCGTGGTAGGCGAGCACTCTACCGCTGTGCCACCGACGCTTAGTAGATAACGCTAAAACAAGTGTCTATCATTCATTTCAACATGATTCTAATATATTTGCAAAAATTAGCAGCAGCAGCAGCAACAGCGGCAGTAGCTCATTCAATATTTAGATTTACTTTTTTTTCACGAAAGTGCCATTCACAAAGTTCAATGTAAATATAAGCTAATGTTTAAAGTGCGAACAGACACGCAAACCTTACTGTTACACATATTTTTGTCAACACAAAACTAAGTTAATATTAATTAAACAAAGTGCTCGTGTGCAGAAAAGTCAAAGTGTTTATCATTTAAAGAAATAATAATAAACAGATAACTAAAAACACATAACTGCGCAAGTATTTGCTAATTACAGAACACAGAGGGGTCCCTATACAGGCGTTGACCTACATTTAAAAAAATGATAATACCATGGTTTATATCATCATAATGCAAAATTATGTGAAGAGAGAAAGAGATAAAAAACCACGAATTTTTTTGATTTTTGATTATAGCTTGATTCCACACCGTATTTTTGGTACAAGTATGGAATTCTCAGCATGTGATATCGGCAGCCCAATTTTGCAGGCCAACCATTGATATCAGGTGTGCGTCGGCAGGGGATCGAACCCCGGACCATGTGCATAGCCGGCGAGAGTCCTAACCACTGTGCCACCAACGTACACAATTATCGTATAAATAAGAATATGTAAGAAACAGAACTAATAAAGGGCAACATTATGCATAAAGCTCTGAAGAGTTATTTCTCTGAGGCTAAAAACTCTCTCACTCACTTTAACTCCAGTAATTGGACAGTGACATTAGGATATACAGAAGAGATTCGTGTATGGGCACATATGAAATTTCTGAAAAGGATTACGTTTTGATTGGACACTAGTAACTAGTATGACGTGTCTAGTCCTCTGTTTGGTGCAGACTGAATTCGATCAGTCAGGTTTGCAATGTGGCCACCATTCTAGGTAGCTCGCCATCACGGTGCACATTGATTTGATGATATTAGATAGTTGGAGGCAATCGGCAGGAAACCTTGGACCTAGGTTTCGTGCTACTTAGCACTCGTCATCAGGGCGTATCTGCAACCTTGAAGGAACTCATGTCCCTTCTGAGATTCAATCAATCTGAGTCAATCGCGAGCCCGAATAGCTTAGTGGTAACGTCTCTGACTGTTGCACTGGGTGACGCGGGTTCGAATCTCAGAATGGACATGAATTCCTTCAAGGTTGCAGATACACCTTGCTGACGAGTAGCAACAAGCACGAAACCTAAATCCAGGACTTCCAGCTGATTGCCTCCAACCATCTATAATCTCTGCTTAGAGTGCACCATAATGGCGAGTCACCAATGTGGTAACCTAAGTGAAAGATTGACTGATAGAATTCACTTTTCTATAGTTTGGTTTGTAAGGGTTAGATATGCTTTTTTACGAGTTGATCACGGATTGCTATCAGTTAGAGAACCATTGAAAACCAGGGAGTACTGGACAACTGTTTCATCCTGTAGTTTGGGAATCATCGGATGTACGCACCCACTGGGATTCGAACCCAGGACCTTCCGGTTACAAGACAAGCTCGTATACCATTCAGCCACTGGGACCCAATTTAATGGCTCATGAATTCTAACTTCTACCAATTCGTGATTTAGCGCGACTCCAACCATCGTCGCTGGTGGGACATCCATCCACACACGTGACATCTAATTGGACCTCACTGGTCACGAATTCTCACTAGAACTCCGGGAAACTCCATCCTGTAGCAAGTCACTAGCGAGCATCAGATTAATTTTCTATAGTTTGGTTTGATAGAATTCAGTCTACAGCAAACAAAGGAAGGAAGGGACACTCAACCTACCTAAAGGAGAAATTAGTTTAGGTTTTTATAAGTCAATTTTTGTGTGAGGTGTAACAAAGTTGTGATGTACATTCTATATAAGCAGTAACATTTATCTAAGATAAAATAGATATTTCCGAAATACAACAAAACTGTATATCTATTACATGCCTTAATGTTATGTAAACCACAAATGTTATGGTTTAATTAATAACTTAGCTACATTCTGTTGAATGATTTCAACAAAACAAGCTCATTTAAGCCTACTAATTTATGATGCAAGTGGTTTTAATAAACTCCGAGACTCATCAAATTCTTTTTATTGTCTATGTACTTATTCTTTCTTCAGTACATTTCTGTTTGTTATAGTTTCTTTGCATTCCTTTTTTTACTGCATTTATAAGGGATTCATGAGGTATGACAACTTGAACTGCTGCACCTTTGTGCGAAAGTTCTATTTTGAAAATTCAGTTAACGAGGATGAAAGGAAGTGGGAGTTTCTAAGTTAACACACTGTTTAACATACGAAGGAAAGGAGATGTGGATTTCCTATGTGGACTCCACTATCATAAAACAAACTGTTACACTAGATATGCCTTATGAGCTTTGAGTTTTACGAAGAGTGGGATGCAGGCAAGCATATGAAAATATGTCCTTGAATTCAACGAAACTCGCACGAAGTAGCCCTCAATTTCAGCTATAAGATCCATAGAAGTAAGAGTAACGAACACCATGACAGAATAAATACAGGAACAAAGAAAAGAAGACAGAACAAACACCAGATAATCAAACGCAAAAGTATAAAATAAGACCAACAAACAATTGAAAAAACACTGTGAACAAGAAAAAAACTACAGAGTGACTAAAAGAACTCTTTGTTGAGCAAGTAATAAACATAAATAAAAAAACAAAACATAAATAAAATATAAACAATAGTTATAACCAGTAATACGAAATTTTGTAAAACAACACATCGAAGGCACTCATATACCATCATAACTACTACACACACGGTCCCATTTATTCTGACAATCTAAACAATTAGGGGAAAAAATCAAGTGAAATAATAAAAGACTTAGTAAATAGTAGCAGTGTGGCGTGTGCTACTGATACGATTTATCAGTAGTATATAAAGAGACGTTCATCGACATAAAAATATCAAATAGCGGAGAGATAGATTTGACTTCAAAGAGAGCAAATGATTCAGCGTTGCGACAAAACACGGGAGACACAAAAAGAAGACAAAGAAACACAATACGAAGGGCAGAAGTAGCACAACACGGGAGATCTGTGTAAATGATGATTTACCGAATTCCAAAAAAACATTCCTTTACCAAGTCTCTCCCCTTCTACCGTTACAGCAGTAACTGTTATAAACTAAATCTTCCCCTCTATCATAAACAAAATGAAGTAAATCCGTAAATGGAAATCTACTATGCGATGACTCCCAAAGTTACAAACCTGTGAAATTTAGAGTTCGAGATGAAATCATGGAGGAAACGTTTGTAGCCCAGTTAAGTTTCTGTGGTGTTATTGTATTTTATGAACTGGATGGTTTAATTTATTATTACTACTATTAAAACACAAACTTGGTACATTATGAGCACCAAGAGATACGCCACAGAAAATCTCACAGTTTGTGAGGAGGCTGGGATACTGCTCGGGTGCATACACCGAAGCGGGTGGTCGCCCTGCCTTCGAGTTGAAGTCTGATCTACAAGACGGCAGAACGCCATTGTCAGCAACTATGCTCTCGTAGCTACTCGTGACTATATACTACTCGACCAGTTCGGATTCTGCACCTCATGTACACCACAGGTTTGGAATCAGGATTTTCCAGCCCCTCCCCCCCTAAGTAGACTAGTACGTCACCATTACGGTTGTAAGTGCCAGACGTTCGCATTCACCCTTTCACTTTTGTGAGAAACACTCAGCCACGTGAAGGCAGTGACGAATAGGACTTACATGGCAAAGGAATTTTTAGCATGTGATATCGGTAGCCCAAATTTAGCAAGCCGACCATTGATATCAGGTGTGCGTCGGTCGGGGATTGAACCCCGACTGATCATTCACTATGGATCTTGATGCTCAGGTTGATCAAATTTTGAACGCATCTCACTCAAAATTACTCAACAACCAGATATGCCTGCAAATTGATGATACCGTCCGACTACTGTAAACATGGCATGTAGAGCAAGGTTGTAACCCAGGAGTCGAAAGTCTAGGCTAATGAGTTATATCACTTACAAAATGTATGTGGCTAACAGTCTATCACACTGGTCCACTTTGTACGTCAAAGTCAAATAAATGTTCTTATTTCTGCTAAAACCAGTTAAACTGACAATGGTTCGTGATGAAGGTAAACAGAAAAATATTGCCTGAACTGTAAAAACACAACAGACTCATAAAAATAACTTGAGTGAGTGAAAATTTTCTCTGTATAAATAGCAGCTAGAAATCGTCACAACTCTACACACCGTATAAAAATCGATAAGTCTTAATTAACCAATGAAGAAGTAACACGTTCACTTTGATATTTTGTGTGTCTGTAACACTCTAATCAGAAAGTGAAAAATGAGCGATTTTTTGACATAACCGTAAGATGCACGAGGAAGTAAAATAAAACAATGAGTGAAACAGTGCCGAAAAACAATGGCAAAAATAATAATCTGTGTAACTAATTACCACGACGAGAATCCAATGAACAGACCGCATATTTTTATAATTATTTAGTCACACCAGTAAATGTACAAAAGACAAATGTGTCTCAGCGGAATTAGAATGAATAACTGTCGAAACTCAATCTATGCAGGTTCCTTGAAGAAAGCAGTAACAAACGCCACTGGTAGTTTTACACAAGAAACTAATACTTGAGAACTATCAATGCAGTTTGTTAAAACACGTCAACTTCTTTCCGATAACAAGGAATACAATAAGTGAACATTTGTCACTCATTTAATAGTAAAATAAACGCTAACGATAGCACAACTAAATTTAAAATAAGTATCTAATCTAACCAAGGAATAAATTTTAATAATCCAATCAAAGAATGGGCAAGGATAAATGTGACTGTGAATAACTAAAGATTCATCAATAGGTACAACATTTCCTTTCTTTCTGTTCCTTTTCTCTCTCTTCTTTTTCCGTTATGTGCTGCTTTGTCTCTTTCTCTCGCTTACGCCAGTTAATAAGACAGCTCCCACTTTTCTAACACCTTCAAACACTGTTTCAGCTCTACCTTTGCTACTGAACATGCCAATGTATTGTTGTAATAATGAACTGTGGTTTCCTCAATCTATGTAGAATTCTATTTATTGATAATGTACTAACTGGATGCAATACTGTAGTAAAAATGCTGAGAATTCCATTCTGTATCACAAGTACTGTTTTGGAATAAAGCAAATTATTATTATTATTATTATAGGTGTTTAGAATTTCAAACCACTGTTTACAGTTTTCAGGCATTTCACCAAATGTGTCCCAATCATTGATTCTTAGCATGCTGAGGACTTAAGGAAGACAATGCATACCTTTCTACCCTGCTCATATCAACAGGTAATGAATTTATGGATTGGAGTCATATCTTGCCCCGATTTCCAACTCCTTCTTAGATTAATCCGGCGTCAGTCATCATCGAATAACCATTATCGGTTGGAATTCAGATATATACCCAGTGCCGAAGAAGATAAAAGCTAGTGAATAGCAGATGAGTCTTTGTATTCTAGACACTGGATCATTGGAAGTCCATATATATATATATATATATATATATATATATGGGGAGGAAGGGAAAATTAGTTTTTTCAGAAACCCCCAATTACGCATATACGATTAGACAGATTAATGATAAAAGCCATTTAAAACGTAGATAAATTTCACTACTTACTTGCACTGAGGAATCCTGGACCATAATTTGCTGAATCTTCACTACAAAAAAAAGTTTAGGTAGAAAGTTCTATTGAAGATAGATTGGAATTTACTTGAAACAATTTTCGTTATATATCATATACCAAATTCTGTTCGAAGCAGGTCCTTTGTAGCCTGTATAACGTTCCGGATTTTTAAGTAAATCCACGTAGATCATTTTGCCAGAACTGTCATCTATAAAATAAACAAAAAGTAAATGTTATGTTATTTTTCCAGATACGTATGTTTGCAACTGTCAGTGGACATCTTGGGGACGTGCACCTAGATATCCAGCTATGCAGGGTGACATGTAGTTCTGTAGTTCATCAGTTAAATTACTCTATCAGTGAAATCAAATTTATTCAATGAGTTCACTGGGACTATTAGCCCTCAAAGTATTGGTATCATCTATAAAATAATAAAACGGCTTTATGAATGATTACTAATTTTTACAGCCATTCCCGGTTTAGATTGATTTCAAGTAAAATACATTCGTTTCGGTAATGTAGGCTCACACACTATCTACTAACTAGTTAATAACACTAAAAATACAGAAACGTATTAATAAAAAGTCAGCTGTTCAATTAGGATTAGTTTAATCTTACGATATTTCTGACTCATATACACTGGACAGCTGATGGTTTTCGGCCAACAATAACACGTTCAATATGTCTATCTGGATACAAGAATGTCTTTGTTAACCATGAAATAGATTTTAAGACTAAGAGCCAGTAGCAGATGAATAGATAAGAAGTGTAAGCAAATCTCGCCACTAACCGATATGTATACTAAAATAAACTGATAAACAAGAAGTACTTAACAGCTATTTCGTCCAAACTGAGACACTTTTCCGTAGTTCGTTCATACAACCACTCAAGATATCGCATCTTAGAGCAGTCAAACTAAAGCGGGTAAGTACGCACTTATCACTGAACCCAGCATCATAGAATATTAGTTATGGTTGCACTCTCACTTAGTTGGTCTCCCTAGTTACTGCATGGGGGTGTAGACGTACGCAATTGATGCCTCTCAGTACAGAAATCCATTTCGAAAGCAGTGGAATTTCCAAAAACCCAAAACTTTGATAAAAATTAAATCCCTAACCATCTGATATATTGGAATTATCTCGAATATCGCCTTATTACTCAGAATCTAACCATCGACTAGACCAGCAATATATTGATGATGACCATTTGATTGAAATCAATACTGGTTTTCCTGATTTTTGATTTGATGTAGTCATGTAGACGTATTTTAAACTAATGTAGTTAACATTCCCTTGGATGCAGACTGATGCATTAGTGTCTAATATGTTGAGGATAACGTAGTTATGTTAAACAACCTTTAATTGAATATGCTGTAAGGATCACTTGGAAGATTGTTGAATAAATAATTAAAAACTCGGATATTTTTCAGACAAAAAAAATATCATAAATAATTTACCATCAGGTTCACAAAATGTAAGTTCATCTTCAGTGTCATGACGAGCCCAGTTGGCAATTATAGTTTTACGTTCTTCACTAATATTTGTTTGATTAAGAAAAGAGAAAATCAAGAAAACAATAAGAAAAAAATTAGCATTACATGAGTTATTTCATATATAGCCAACTGATAATTAGATTCATCTACACTGATGTAAGTGCGTCGGTGGCATAGTGGTTAGGACGCTCACCGACCATGCACATGGTCCGGGGTTCGAATCCCGGCCGACGCACTCCTTTACCAGCCAGAAATAAAAGCTGGTAAAGAGGAAAGGTTGGGCATGTGGCTAGCGACCCCATTCTGTAAAAATGAACACTGCTACAGAAACTTCAAGCTTCTAGCTTGAAGCCCTATGTTCCACGTGAAGGAAAAAAACACTGATGTGACCAAGATTTATTCGTGTCATCTACTTCTGCTGAATTCCTTAGAGAAAGTTATTAGCTTAATGCAACTGTTCAACGTATGGACCTAGCTGTTGCGTAACTCCTTTTTTAGTAATCACATCTAAAACATAATAAGAAATTCAATACTGTGAATTGTGTTGATAGCTCTACTCCTCATGTTTTAGCTAAATCCCATTTAATCTACAAACGGACTAACACCTGTGAAAAATAATGATGACTGAAAAGATGCTTTGAAATAAGACTAATTTATTTTATCGAGTAAACACAGATCTATTACTTCTATAAAAGATGTTGTATAAAACATTTATTATAGTTTGTCTTGGATAACTGTTCTATTCGTATATATATTTCTGCGACCTAAGCCTAATAAATAAAGACTGATACACATTTCCACATTTGCCCCACTGAAAGTAAGGTAGAAATTTGAAAACCTTGCACCAAGAGTTGAAAAATTAGAAATTTTAAATGCCTTATCATCAGTACTTTACACAGCCTCACTTCAATTGAAATCGTTAAATGAATGGTATGAGAGTTTTACGTAAGTGTGAATTTACCAAATCAGACAGTGCAACAGTTATTAATTAAAGAAAAGGTTTAAGCCAAGTAATGAGTTAATTTTATACTTGATTTTTTTTTAAATAGCACGAAGCTACATGCCGTAAAAATACAATCCTACAATTCACTAACAAACTTTCCTATAGAAACATATTGCTACATGACTATGATATGTACTATCTCTCCTTATGAACACACAAACAGATTTATATTTCTATACAAAATATTGTTTTCAAAGAAAGTAATTCACTTTAAAAATGATTTAGAAAAGAACATTTATATTAACAATATGAATAACAAACCAGTCGTACAGATATGGAAGTAGTTGGAACTCCATTTAACTAAATTCCATACCTTAAAGAACTATCCAGCTGACCTAGCCCGCAATCGATTTCTCCTTCAGGATACATGTTAGCTTCTTGAGAATACTTTCAAATAAAAATTAAAAATAAGTCTAACTTTATAATGGGGTGAAGACTTTAGAGAATCTTCACGCAAGCCCAGAGGAATTTCTTCAGCTGGACAGTCGTTGACACGACAGTCAGATGAGGGACACCGTTTATCATCTTCGAAAAATGGACATTTGCGTTTTAGATTAACCTGAAATATGATATAAATCGAAAAGAAAGTTACCACAATTAGTTGAGAGAAGGTAGGATGTTTGTACAGTAGAAATAAAAGTGTGTGATTAGAATATGTCACTAATGAACATATATTATATATTATCTCGAACAACTGCATTCCAAACTAGAATGAATTTGATATTCATGGTGATAAGTTTATTTTTGGTAAATAACCAGTTCAGAAGCAAAAAAGGGAATGTAGATAATGTGCACATATTCAACTTAAGAATGATAAAAATACACTGGATGTCTAACACGTAGGGTGCCAATAAACAATTTTCGGCTTTGTGCTGCATAGAATTCCGAAATGATCGTTTGCCTAAATTCAACACACTGGTTTATAGACTTTTTAACTTCCAATTTTGACACCTGGAAAGTCTCATCTCGGAAGAATGGTCATGCTCTCCCCAACTAAACTGAATTCAAACGAAAATCACATTGTCAAAACATGTCATCAAGGTAACGATGTGTAGACTTTATAACTTATTTGTCTTCATGGATTTCGGTAGATTGTAAGTTACAAAGTTGCATATGCACAGTAGTACTAACTTGGGTGACAGAGATGAAACACCAGATGAGAAACGGAAGGAATGTGCCATATCTACAATGTATATTAAGTAAGGTACGAGTGTTATAACAAACCACTGTCCACAAGTTTCTATGATGTCTATTGATTGTCATTTACTGAAAATAGATGACATTTGATGTAATACAGTATATTTTAAAAAGTTGTTTATTTTTTTTGTTTGAGCAAAGTTATCCGGAACGAATTTTTCATGTACTAGACTGAGAACCACACTTATCATGTATGTGAAGGCTGGTGATACTACACAGCTGCCTAGGTTGAAGTAGGTGAATGAGACTCGAACCTATGACACACCGATGGAGATCAAGAGCTTAAACCAATAGGTCAAAGAAAACAGATGTAGCACAGACAGATCTCTTAATGCAGTTTCACTTGTATTTGATAAATTTGCTTATGCATCGAAATAACGCGGAATCTCACAAAATAACACGTGATCCAGCGACACAGAAAGTCAAGACTTGTGTTGATGACAAATGAAATACTAGATATTGCTAGATAGCTCAAATACAAGTGGTTGTCGGGCAATAAATAAATAAAACCAGGTGTTGAGATATCCCGTCAAGTGATATAACGTGCCACTTATCTAATAATGTAAACTACTTGTGGGAAGCTCAATACAACAAACAAAAGTATATGAAATGAGGAGTGACAAAGAGTATATCACTCTGAAAACTTCAAAAACGGTATCGCAGTATCGTACTTCTGTACTGGTTGCTTTATTTACTATTACTTTATTTGCAACGAGCTCAAAGTTATTAAACAATAATGCTGTGTTGTAAATTGTTAACTGTAACTTTTGAATTCGCCCATAAGATCAAAAATTTACTTCTCTAGTAACAGTTCATCCCTGGTTAAGGCTGACACTCGGTTGACTAGAACAGGTTTGTCACTTACCAAGCTGAGCTATTTTTATTATAGGGGGTGAAGATACTAGCCCATTGCCTAGGCTGAAGCAGACACATTGGGACTCGAACCCAGAACTTGCTGACTGAATGACGTGCTACAGCAATGCCACACAACTCCAACAACACTATATGAATAGTACCTTAGGATTCAGTTATCAAAAACGTCCTACGCCAAACTTTTCTCAAGCAAAGTAGGTTAAAGAACACCAGCAACCAATAAATATATTATAATAAACACAACAAATTGAGTGTCTGCAATTCAATTACTGAGCACTTGAAGAAAGTGCTGGTCGTCAACTCATAGTTTCTGATAAAAAGTAGGAGTACCAAGAGCATAAACTTAGTGACTACAATCCTGTTTGAAAGATTAAGGAAGTTTGAATGTGTCCAAGAGTATTATTCTTCCACAAACAGCTAAGTGAAAGTCATTATGGAGGTAAATGAGGTGATTCTGACGAACATAATAGGCAGTCAACCTGTGACTATTCATTGAACGAAAAGTGTGGGACAAATGTTTTGGGGAATAGGATAACTTAACACGTTCAATAATGCCACTTAAGCATATTAGAAAACTCAAAATATATTTTAGTTGTTTTTGATATAATCTTACGAAATGTTTTGAAGTTAAGCAATTAGGTGACCATGCGTTTACTTGAGATAAGGATTACCAATACTTACCTCGAAATAGTGAAAGAAATCCTTCTGGATAATGTTTTTAATACGAGGTAAGATTTTAAGATTGTTGAAGTTTGTTATATTTTGAATGTCTGCATTAATATCGTCTACCGATCCGGTCAACTACATACATAAGTCGTATATCTTTTTAATTTACCTGAGTGAAGCAACTGTCAGATACCGCGTCTTCTTTTGCAAGAGTGCATCCACAAAGAGTCAGCAGAATCCAGAAATATTTACCTCCGTACATCAAGTATAATCCGACTGATCAAAAGTCTGAGGCGTAACCTTGAACTCAAAATTACGGCTGGGTGCAATGAACAGCCTTTATTCACTAAAACACAAAGGAGGTTGATAACTAAATGCATGCTGTAGTCTAGGCCAATAGTTGTATTGAGAAGAGCACCTAAAAAGAATCTTAAATCACAGTATTGAGTGATATCAATGGCGGGAATAAGCCAAAATTCTAGAAAATTCTAGCGTTTGCTCCACGATTTAAAGCCAATGGATAAAAATGCTTTCCTACATTTTTGAAAGGGGCAACTGTTTTCCGAAGAGTTTTCAATGTGTATATTAAACGCTACCACGTCTTAAATTGACCTCGCTTGTACTTCATTCGTCTTCCATTAGTTGGAACAGTAGTGGTCAGTTGGATATTTGATTTCCCGTAGTGAGGAGCTATCGTGCATGGTTTTGTATGATTTTGTCATGTGTGGTTCAAAAACAACTGTGATGAATAGAAGTGTAAGATTTAACTATCATAAAGGTATCTTACTGTTTCTTATACATCTACAAGGCATGTTTCTTCGTAGACTCTGTTAGATTGGTTAACCGTTTTGGCGGTTATCAATAACTACGATCCCTTTGGGTCCCAATGCACTTCTTGAGTCGTGGTTATACATGTAACATTTTCCTCGTAGATATTTTTCAGTCAGGTTGTCCTATATTCTGTGTTTCTTAAGAATTAACTGTGACAAGATGTAGCAGTAATGTGCTTTGTTAACGAAGTCTTTTTTAGAAGTTCACTGAAGGTGGCCTTGCGATTGCAATCAGTGAAGATGCAAGAAAACGTTCCTACTGTGAGACAAAGTTGGGAATGCACTGGAATACTTTCAAAAAGTGAGAACCTTATAAAGTATTAACAGTGTAGACCTTTTGCACACACTACATTTACATCCAGAGGAAAAATCGTCGGGTGAGAGATATTGCATTCTAGGGAGGTAATTTTACGGGAACTTTATGTAGTGTGTACGTTTCTTTTTAATACTTTTTTCTTAGACTATTAACAAAGTAATGATAAAAGTGTCCTTGTAGTATGATTTAATGTCACAATTACAAGCAGTTAATGCGATGCCGGATACCTTTACATTTGGGAGTCCAGTTCTTTTTGCTTGCATTGAAAAATGATCTGAACTTGACGCAATTTGGATACTGGACAGTTTCTGTTGAATAAAGCTAGATGCTCCCTAAGCGAAACTTTTCATTTTGGACTGAGTGTAGTCCACATCAGTAAATAAACTAACTTGTGTTTCATTGATATAAAGCTTTTATACTAATATTTTGCGTTCTGTTTGACAAACTTGCCGCGGGAGTGCGCCACGCTAGACCGGTACTCCCTAGGACATGAACTTTTCACTATATTCGAATGTACTTCCAGAAGAACATTATTGATTAATATAGGTGGTAACTTATAAGGACTTTAGTGAAGCCCTAACGTCCGCCTAAAACTGAGCGATTACATCTCCTAGTCACAGGTGAATTTGTAGGTACCAATGGCAAAAAACCCAACCTGTGTATTCAAAACATAATAATAGAACTTAGGCACAATAGTAGAGCATGATTGTGTCATAGGTTAAATGTATTGGAAAGTAGCACATTACTATTATTTCAGTTAAAGCGTGATGTCAATCTATATGATTGCGGGTCTTGAGATGTAGTCCAACATGAAGTTTGGATGGACAAATAACTGAGTAGGTGGAACTGTGGTACCCCCAGTGCAATCTAACTGATATTTAATTATGCCACCAATTACTTTCTCAGGTTTCATTTATAAGTCAAGCTATCATCTCGTCATGATAACAAATTTATTTCACTCGAAACAGAAAGAGGAAAGTTCAGTAAACAGGATGTGAGGTATATTTGACGAACAAAAGTAACAAGCAAATGTCTGTACAGAACTGTTTGTCGTAATTATTCCAGTGATGTTAAATGGTTTTTAACAGTTGGACTGACGTTGTCGGACTTCTGCAAATGAATTATTGAAGTGTATTGTTTAATCTGTTGCAATTAGATGAAAGTAAGACAAAAGTAAAACGCTTCATATTTGACTACATTTCATGACAACGGTTCATTCTACTTTCTTATCCATTTGTCATGACAGCATTGTTCTGTGATTTTCCCTATCATATACACTGTTCTTTTGTCAAGTAAAGCACTAAACAAACGTTGACCCTTCATTTTCACCTTATATCTTAATTAAGTATACGGTGCATCAGAGCACATTTCCTTGATAATCAGTCATTTATAATTTGAATTTTGTCGCCAATGATTACAGGTAAGGTAAAGTACTGCATTATTAGATAGAAATCCATAGGACGTTTGGCAAGTTTTAGCACAATGCTTTGCATGAGTGGATTGGACACAGACTGCCTGCTGTTATTCGACTGGAGATAAGAGCAGACAAAACGAGACTCTGGAAACGATTACAGTACAATAAAAATATATTATTATCATTTCCTTTAGTTCCTAGTGGAACATAGGGCTTCAGCCATGCGTCTCCATTGCGTTCGGTTCTCTGCTACAGTCTTCACCTGGCTCCAAGTCTGCCCACACGTTTTCATCTCCTCTTCACATGATCTCCTCCAAGTCACCCTCACCCTTGCACTGACGACCAACTCGCCACTTACCTTTCAGGTTCCACTCAAGGACTTGTCTAGTGATGTCACTTGATGGTTTCCTAAGAGTATGGCCAATCCATCTCCATTTCCTTCTGCATATTTGTTTCACAATCGGTTCCTCCTGGGTTGGTTCGCTCATTGCCAGAGATCTCTGTTGCTGATCTTTTCTGGCCAGCCATCTGATCTTGAGTATTGAGCGAAGACAACTGTTAATGAAGGTCTGTGGTTTGTTTGAGATGCTCTTTATGACGCGCAGTGCAAGTCTCTGATCCGTATAGTGAGTAGCACTGACTTCACATTGGAGTTGAAAATCCGGATCTTATTTTTGATGATGAGTGCTGTTGACCTCCACACAGACTTGAGAGTAGTGCAAGCTTGTCTTGCTTTCCCGATCCTTGCTTTGATATCCTCGTCAGTTCCGTCCGCCTGTAGTTGAAACGATGCTTCCCAGGTTGGTAGGTGAAGGAGGTTGTTTCTTTCAGGTTCCTTCCATTTATGCTGATTGCTGTCTGTTGTTGTTGCTGTGGCTGTTGGTGTTGGCCAGGAATCTTCATCACCTCCGTTTTCTCTGTGTTCACCTGGAGTCCTATCTTTGATGCTTCTTCTGCCAACTTGTTGCTTATGTATGCTGATTCCTATCTATGTGGGAACACACCAGTTGTACCGCATGGATAAGTATTATTTTAATTACACAAATTTGGTTTATGGTGAAATGACATGGTTGCTGTCCTTTTTGACTTTAGCCTGTGGGAACAATCTGCTAACTAGTCGGCGAGTGAAGTACATCGAGGAATATAGAAATATTGTTTTCGCATTAAAAAAACCCAAGTATGTGTTGGTTGGATGACAAATACTTGGGAAAAAATTAAGCTTGAAGTCACTTCTCCCTTATAACTTTGTTGTGTACGTCATCGAATCTCATTCTTGATTTATATCCAAATTGGGTATTAATGCAAAATAAGTATGTATTTGTATAGTTTTATCATCTTCTTCGTAGGTGACATCAGAAGTGAACTGTACTACATGCAGTTATACTCACTAGGGACACGCAACCCGCTCCACAACTGGATAAAATCATTTCTCCATGATAGAAATCGGACGACAAAATTGGCTCGATGACCTGCAGTCCTAGACGAATAAGCAGTGGTGTCATCCAGGGGAGTGTATCAGGCCCCCTCCTTTTCATAATATACATATACAGTACATGCGAATGCTTTAGCATAAGCAAACCGATACTGTATGCAGATGACTTAAAAGTGACCAATACATGCAAAAATACAGATATCGGTACAAATGTGAACTCTATACACGAAGAATTGATAAAAATGGATAGACGGTGTGGCACCTAGAGACTGGAGTTTAATGTCAAAAAGTGGGGCTGGTTCTACATAGGTTGCCCCAGCCTAGAACTTGACCTAGTAAATCAAGGCAATAAAATCCCCAAACCCAAATCTGCGCTAAATCCAGGACTGAAATATTCACAAAATCTATCGTTTTCACAGCATACCTCGAAATAAGAGTTGAAATCACGCAGGCTTATTGGTTTCCTGCTCGGAAACTTCTACAGAAATGAATCCAGAATGTTACTGTACAAGCTTTGCGTGCGCCCAATCCTAGATTACAGCTCCTTCATATTTGTAGTATACGAAAAGAAGGCAAACTAAAGTTAGGAGGAGTGCAGAGGTACTTCACGCCAAAAGTATACAGAACCGGAAACGGCACAAGCTACTCCACAAGATGTGAAATCCTAGGACTCGAAACACTATGACTGAGACGACCGCGACCGAACTTAGTACTTTTCTATAAGCTTCCAAACCACAAACGCTATATCCCTGTGGTGGTGTGGTACAGATAATGTGTCCAGCAAAATATCACTTCACACGCTCCCACAGATCAATACTGCATTTGTAACAGAATAATATATGTGTTTGAACATTCTATTTCTGTCCTTTAATATAAACCAAAATAACACGCTCAGTGACTGGTTAAGGAATATAAAACTGTATAAATGAATAGCAGTTTGATCACTTGAAAATATACCTTTGCTTCCGTGTCTTGCCTTCTACTGCTACACCCCTACTGATGTTACTCGATTTATAGCTGACATTTGGTACAATCTAAGACACACTAAAGGCAGAGTGGCTGTCGAACAATGTAAAAGACAAAAGTTTAACTCCATTAGATATGCTCGGATATGGAATAAACTACCAACGTTAATGAGGCTATCAAGCATAAAGGCCTCCTTTGAAAGGGTACTTAATGACGCACCAAGAGAGTTTGCAGGCGATATATGTGCCGATTCCTATTTAAGAGCTTCATAAATCACAAGCCCATTTAATGTATGAACTTAAAGACTACACTTGTTGTTTGTTTTTGCCTCTATACATAATTTCAGATAAAAAAGCGGCAGCTATAACAAAAGCCCCCAAAC